AGGCATTTTGAGATGTTGGATCACCTGGGCCATCATTTTTATTGGTGTCTGGTCTCCTTGTTCTGAAATCCATAAAATTTTAAAGGTAACATACATTTTTGTATTAATACAAGTATAAACTGTATGTTGTACACAAGTTAGCCAAAGATGATTTTTTGTTTTATGTTTGAGCAGGTAAATACAGGACTCATGTTTTGTAGTTTTTCTAGGTCTATTTCTCTATGTCTGTAGTCAGGATCTTCAGAGGGTCTTGTCTTCCCTGATCAAACCTGATTCATACCAACCTGAAGTGAATCCCTAGCTTCTCATTTCCTGTGGAAATAAAAGCATGACCTTTTATTTCCTATCTGTTGACTTCCATTTTGAAGTCAAGATATTTTAAAAATATATAGGTTAGTTTATTAAAATATATAGGTTAGTTTAATCCAGCAGTTTTTATAAGCTAGTGTGTCTTAGCAGCTGTTGTTCCTTCATTAGCAATCAGAAAATCTAAAGACAACATAGTAACACACAAATCCAGGCTCTCTGTGTATTTCCTATCTCCCCTCCCCCCAACACGAGGTTTCTCTATATACTACTCCTGGGTGTCCTGGAACTAACTCTGTAGACTAGGCTGGCCTCAAACTCACTGAGATCCATTTGCTTCTGCCTCCTGAGTGCTGGGATTAATGATGTGCATTATCACCGCCTGGCATATTTCCCATCTTTACACATCTTTTTTTTATATCTCTATATAATAGATATTATTCTTTTTAAGGACTTTACTTACTATTTTTTAATCTATAACTGTCTCTATCCTTTCTCTTTTCTCTTTCAAGCATATGTGTATTTTTAAACACACTGTAACCCATTTAGAGTTTTTTTTTTTCATCTGAATCTGTCTTTTTTGAGCATTTGTAACCTTTTCGGTCTGCATGAGCAAAACCCCAAACTGTCACACATCAACCTGGCAGGACTTGCATTGGCAGCTTAAGCCTACAGGCAGTGTCTGGGAGATGCCTCTCTGTACCACAACCTGTGAGGGTGACTGCAGGAATCCTCATGTGGCTTAGCTCATGGCCTGCTGATAGGGCTCGTCCTGGCAGCTCAAGTCTGCAGGCAGCTGCAGGGAGGTGTGTCTCTGTACTGAGGTCAGCATGAGAGGTACAAGACTAGGAAGCCGTGTTTGGTTCATTTTTGTGTGTTTAGAACCCTTTTGGCTTTCTCAGGTCTTATGTGGATGTAGGTACCGGACCGTCAGGCACCACGTGTAGACAGAGTTTCTCTGTGTCCTGGTAGTCACTCCCAAATAACTACTCAGAGACTTAATATTAATTTTAAATCTCAATTAATAGCTTAGACTTGTTACTAACTTTTACAATTTAAATTAACCTGTTTATATTAATCTACGTTCTGTCATGGCATTACCTCTTTCATCTTGTACCTCCTGTTTCCTCTCTGTGTCTCTCTGGCAACTCCTCTGACCTCACCCTTCTTCTTCCTAGTGTTCTTAGTCTGGTTTTCCCACCTCACCTTATCCTGTCCACAGCAGTTTTGAACCAGGCATGTAGTCTGGGAGGACCGAGGTCTGTTCCTAGCACCAGTGGCTGGGATAGCAGAGAGGATAACACTAAGTTGAGTTTGACATTGGCCTGCATGAGCCAGAGTGGGAAATGGAAGCCTTCAATGGTGGGACACAGAAGGACAGCACAAAGCATGGGAACTGCCTCCCTGAGGGCCTTTGGGCTTTCCCCATAGCTGTCTTGGATATAGAGGGCTTAGGAGAGAGCAGAGTTATAGAGCGGATCCCAAAGGTATTTCACTGGCCCACAGATGTAGCTCCCCCTTGGTGAGAAAGTACCTGGGATGTCACCAGAACACCAGTGGTTAGGAACAACATTTCTAAAAACAATGAAATAAATAAACCTTCACAATCGTAGTGTTCATGTGAAAGGCCTTTTCCCTGTGATCAGGAGAATGTGAACAGTCTTCCCAGATGCTCTGTAATCTGTCTCATCATGGTCATGAGACTTGGCATGAGATCAGAGATGCAGTGTGACTCAAATTCTTTTCCAAGTAGTGTAAAGAAACTAGCCAAATCCTGACTTTCTTAGGCTCACTTGACATTAGACCTTTAAAAAGAAAGTGTTTTTTTTTATTTTTAACGTGTGTGTGTGTGTGTGTGTGTGTGTGTGTGTGTGTGTGTGTGTGTGGTGAGATGGTATATGCTCATGAGTCCAGATGCTGTGGAGTCCAAAAATCATGCCAGCTCCCCAGAGCTGGAGTTACAGGTGGTTCCAGGTCACCACATTAGTCCTAGGAACTGAACTTGATCCTCTGGAAGAGAAGCAAGTACTTTTACTCGCTGAGCCATCTCTGCAGCCCTCTAGGCTTTCCTCCCTCCCTCCCTCCCTTCCTCCCTTTCTTCCTCCTTCCCTCCCTCCCTCCCTTTCTCTCTTTCCCTTTCTTCCTTCCCAATAAGCTACTTCTCTTTTAATATTGTGTGTAGACCAAGTGTTCTATAAGGTCTTTTCCAAGTTTTATCTTTGTCTGAGTGTTTTATTGCTATAAAGAAACATCATGACCAAGGTAACTTATAAAAGAAAGCATTTAATTGGGGGCTCACTTAAAGCATAGAATCTTGTCCTCATGTCTGGGTAAGGCTGTGCTGGCAGCTGCCATCTGAAAATAAGAAGCAAGCCAGTGAAGGGCTGGTTAGAGTTGTGCAGTCTCCACTGCACTTGTGTTTGCTCTGACTCGGTGGCTAACTTTTCTAAGTCCTCTGGGTTCCTTGGAAATTTTATCCATGAACTCAGGAGGGGGTTATAAGAAAAGGCTGAGCATCTAGAAGTAAAGTCAGCTTAGTCTTAGGCACTCAGCACCAGCACTCAGCTGCCTCTGCAGATGGGACTCATGAGACCTGTTTCTGTTCTTCAGTTTGTATCGTGGGTGGGCTGTTTGGTAAGCATAATGGATATAAAGATGGTTTCTTCCATCATCACTGTTGGGCTCAGGTCAGGTTGGGGACAAGACTGAGGGTGCCCCATAGGCCACAAGTCCCATGAGGTCTCTCCATTCCTTTAGCAGGAACAGAAACCAGGAAGAATTCTTACCTTTATTTATAACATGGAACTTACTGATTCTGTGGGTTTTTTTTCTTTCTCCTTTGAGTGTACAACAAAATATTTGGCAATAATGACAGTTTAGAGACCCAGAACTCAGTGGGCTTCTCATAGCTTCTCCATGTTTTACAGAGGAATCAGAACCAGAAAGAAGGTTGCAATGAGAGACAAGGTCATGTTCTCCACCCTCCTCCAGTCACCACTAGCTTTACCCCAGTTCCCCAGATCCACAGGCTCCCTCCCACAAGCTGTCCTCTAGCCTCACATGTGTACCTGCACACAACACGCGCAGAGAGACAGAGGTAGAGAGACGGAGAGAGGGAGGGAGAGGTGGAATGGGGAAGATAAATACAATTTTTAAAAATGAAAACAACTAGTGCTTTAATTTTTATTTCAACACAATTTACCTATCTGGAAGAAAGTTCCATTTCTGTGTAGAACTTGAGTTATTTCATGTTGTCCAAATCGAGTGATTCACCATAGGACAGATATGCTCTGAGGGACATTTTACCTGTTTTATTAAAGGAAATCAGATCTTGTTTCCTATGCCACCAGATGAGGATGAAATCCTGGGGTTCATCTTCCCACTTGCTTATTTGAGCTTGACAAATCTGCAGTCTGAGTGTCCGGGTACTTGGATGTTTCAAGATTTCCACCATCATGAAGGATGGGCTAGTGTTCCTTCTCTCTGGTGTTATTGGAACTGTGAGTTGTTATTTGGGAGTGCCTCAACAATGCTCCAGCTGCCGGGAGCGCTCCATCTCCTGGAAAGTCTCTGGGCCAGGAGAAGGCCAGTGCAAAGTGACACATTGTCTTAGTTTCACGAAGAGCACATTTGACGGGAAATGACTTAAGCTTACTGTATCTGCTAGTAATCCTGTGATGCCATCCCAACAAAAAGCACATGACTACTCGTAAGCCCGTCACACAAGCAAAGGAAATTGGATTCTGCTCAGAAAAACTAGGCTGTAATCATCCTGATCCAATAATGTAGCCCTGCAGGGTGGCGTCATCAACCCTGAGACACAGAGAGAAGGAGGGGGACAGGGAGGGTAAGCATTGCGGGAGGCTAGTGCCCAGCTCTCCAGACATTCAAGCCAATGAAAAATTCATGAGGCAATGTTTTATAGCCAATGTCTAATACCACTGCTGGATCACAAGCTGATCCGAGCCAATCAATAGAATTCATCACTATGAAGGGAACTAGCGAGGGAATGTTTATGAGAACTGGGGGTGTTTCAAGCCAAGACCAGTTTCTGGCTAAATATATGTCACCCTTAAAGGCACAGAATGTACTTTGAAAATGGACTTGGTAAGAAGAACTCTCCCCTGGATTTCAAAAGTCTTTCAAACGTTACGGAGGGGGAGGGGAAGAGGCGCTTTTGAAATCCAGGGAAGAGGAGTGTTGTGATTATTTTAGAAAGCCGATCTGAGGACTACTCGAATAGAAACTGCTTTGTTTCAGTCTGCCGGTCTGTGATTTCTTTTTAGCAAGTCTAGAATTTTTTTTTATTAAAAAAACTATTCATTTCCTCCAGATACAACTGGAAATACATGAGAATGAAATTATATATATATAAATTATATATATTATATATATATATAATATATATAAAACAGTAGTCAGAGTTGTAGGTTAGGTCATTAAGTCGCAGTTTAATGATAAAAAGCTTTTAAGGCCATAGGAACACCAGCCCAACTCTTGTGGCTTTCTCTGCCCAGGTGCTGTTTCAAGCAGAGCCTTGGTAGAAATTAGAATGAGCTCAGAAGTCTGCTAAGGACTTGAGAGTGACACTCAAGCCTCGTTATGTGGGAGAAGAGCTGTGAAAACAGGCCATCAGTGTGAATGTTCCAGGCATGGCTAAAGTAGGGCCCTCCTGAGGTCTTCTAAGTAGGTTCCATTAGGTGTCTTCTCTTCCACTCCCACCTTTTGAGTGATGGATCCAACCTCAGGAGGTCACAAGTAGAAAGTCGTGGAAAATTCGCCTGTGAGACAGAGACAGGAGAGGAATGCTAGAGAGGGGCGAGGTAAGGTTCGTTCCTGATGGTGGTGTCATCACCACCATCAAGATGTGCCTTGCGTTTTTGTAAGCAGGTCAGATTTCTTTCTGGACTGCAAACAAGATCACTGTTTGAAAACTAGAAGACTCAGAACAATGAAAGAAAGAAAATAAGTCATTCATGAGTTTAATATCCTGATAAACCACTTAACAAAGTGGCTCATTCTTCCAAGTCTAACAAACATACATACATGTACACAGACATGCATATGAATGCTGCATGCGCACATGCACAAATACTCAGGTGCATGTGAGACTCAGCTCGAGTGTGAATGGTTCTGTGCCTTGGGCTCTTCATATATCTTACTCTGACATGTTCATCTTATAGTAGGCAGATCTACTTCACTGTCCATGGGAACTCTGTTACAGAGACACATTCTCTGTCACAAGGCCATGTGTTTACTAAAGCCCCAAGCCTAGCCCACCTGCACCATCTTTGTTCTTGAACACTTGTGTAGTTCCAGTGTCCTTAAGCTGAAGCCTGCTCTGTTCTTCCTTGGGAAGTTCAGGTTTGGGGATACAAGCCTGAGCTGCAGCCCTGAAGCTGCATGCCATGGGGAGCTTCTGAGGTAATCTCATCTTTAGTTTATCACCACAGCAGGGAGATAGTACTGCCTATCCGGGAGTCATGCTAATCTAAGGACTGGCCAGAAGAATGATGCCATGAAGAGAACAAAAACAGAGAGAGTGTCACAGAGGAAGCAAGGTTGAGCAGACAACTTGCTAAGTGTTCAACCGGTAGATGAGGTATTAGAGATCGGAGGAGAGGGAACGAGAGGGCGGGTCATTCCAAAGGGGGAAACAGGTACAAGGACTGGCTTATACAGTGGCCCAAGTATGGTATGTATGATAGGTACAGTATGCACACTATATATACTATGTACAGTACATCTCTGGAGTGTAGGTGGGTGGGAACCAGGCATCTCCAGCACCTGCTTGAGGCTCAGACGTAGGCCTTCACTACGTTGGAAATACTTTTTCCATCCTTCAGATGCTTCATCTTCTCTGTAAAACCTCTTTAAACTATGTACCAAATAAATGGGCATTTGATTTTATTCTTGGGCGTTTTTGTTTGTGAGACAATCTCATGTAGCCCAGGCTATCCTGAAACTGGCTGTGTAGCCAAGAATCACCTTTAGTCCCTGCTCCTGCTTCTGCCCCTGGAAAGCTGGGATGAGTGTGCTGTCCTGTCTGGTTAATATGGCTCTAGGGACTGAACCAGGGTGTTGTGCACAGACAAGCACTCTGTCAGTGAGGTTCACCCTCAGCCCCTCATCTTGTTTTGTATATTACTATCTAAGATTTCATGACAAATCCCACCTCCCACCAAACTATAAACTCCTTAAAGACAGGAACTGTGGTTCACATTTGTTTTTCATTTCTTCGGACACCCAGTCCCCAAACCCAGTGCTGCTATGTAGGATTCTTCGAAGTAATACTGGCCTGGAATTTCTTGAAGTCCAGGTCCTGAGTACCCATGAACCTACCAGCAAGCAGTGGCTTCCTTCCCTCTGCTGCAGTGATGTTTACTCAGGCTGTAGTGTCACTTAAGTGATGCTAGCTTGCACTTCTGATTTTTGGAGAAGCGATGAGTAATAACTTTACAGGAATTTAGTAAGATTCCCATTCGAAGGCCCTAGCTCTAATCAGCCTTTGAATTTACTGCTAATTAAGTTCTCAACCGTGAAAAGTTGTTATCTGGGAAGACTGGGACTTAACAGATGAAATAAATCTTTTTTCAGTTTTGCCAAGTGTCAGCCTATGACATCAGGCAAGCTGTCTATGTACTTGCAACTAAAGTTTTCTCCACTAAAATGGTTGTTGTTGTTGTGTGTGTGTGTGTGTGTGTGTGTGTGTGTGTGTGTGTAGACATGTGTATGTGTGAGTATAGGTACCAGAGTTGTCCAGAAGAGGGTGTTAGAATACCCAGAGTTGCAGTTATAGTAAGCTGACTGATATCAGTGTTGGAAACTGAACCTGGGTCCTCGGCTAGAGCAGTGTGTACTCTTAACCACTGAGCCATCTTTCCATTCCTGAGTTTTCTCCATTTTTAACACTAGAATAACGGGGGCTGGGGAGATGGATCAGCAGGTAAGAGCACTTGCTGTTCAATTTCTCAACAGCCACGTAAGAAGTTAGATGTGGCCTCTCAAATGTGGCCTCTCAAACCTGTAACCCCCGATTGATTGGGAACAAAGACAGGCGACTCCTGGGGCTCAGTGGCTGCCGGCCTAGCTTCATGTTCATTGAGAAACTCTATCTCAAGGGTCTACAGCAGGAAGTGAACAGGCACCCAAAGCCTTCCTCTTGCCTTCACACAGAATGCATAGCACACACATATACATATACCATGCACATATCTACAATACAGTAAATAAGTAAACAGCTGAAATGATAACAGCTTTTGATGCTTTTGAATTATAAGGATTAAATGTGGGATAGATATGAAATTAATTGGTAATATGTGAGCCGTCAAATAAAAAACCAGAGAATTTTTATCCTTTTACAGACTAAAGTGATCTTGTTTTATTCCTAGCATTCAGGATCCCTATGCAAAATTTACTGAGAGGTAAATCTGAAAAGTTCTTTCAAGTCACTGAAGTTTGATCATCCATCAGTGCGTACCTAGGAGAGCAGCTAGGCACCTTCTCAAGCAGCTCACACGTGTCAGAATGGCCATGTCTGCATAATTATCAGGTCATCAGGGAGGTGGGGGACAAAGTGTCCTGTCTTCCAGCTGTCCTTGTGGCATAACCCCAGCTTGAGCAGTTGACCAGACGAACCCTGGAACACAAATTAGCTTTGACAGAATTCTACATTCTCGGCTGACTTGAGAAACAGGAAAGGAACTGCTTGAATTTGTTATAAGAAGGTGGGTAACAGCACAAACACACAAGTGGACCCCAAAATGACTCCAAAAGAGAAGGGGAGGGGAAATTACGGAGAGAAACAGTTGTTTCTAATAGCAGACACCACAGAGCTCTGACTCAGAGCCTGTGGCTATACAAGGTGTTACTGCAGCTTGAGAGACTCATCTACCCTCTCTGAGCTCCTGTAAAATGAAAATAATAATACTTATTTTGAAAGGATTATATGAAAAATTTTACAAATAGAAGAATGCTCTTTGATTATGAAGTGATTATGAATTCACCTATCTGATGTTCAGACACCCGCATGATGTGTATATCCCTGGGCCTTCCCAGAGTTATTAATGAAGGTATATGCCCTGCAAGGTGCAGGCCAGAGGAAGAAATCCTCTCCCCCATCCTTAAGGTACAGGAGGTGGGGCCTAGTCTAGCTGGCATTTCTGCATGTACTTATTTATGGGGGCACACATGAACAGAATACTCCTGTTCTCACACCCCGCCTCTACTTCCTGTCTGGTTGACCCACCTTTACTTTCTGCCTGGCCAATCAGCATTTATTTAAAATATGATTGACAGAATACAGACAACTCTCCCACAGGGCTAGACTCAGAAATCACAGTCCTCTGTCTGAACAGTGAACAGCACTTTGAAAAAATCATGCAACAACTAAGTTGGAACCATCTTGAGCAGATGGTACCCCAAACAGGTCTTATAGTAGCGATATCAGCATCACAATGTCATATCAATCAGGTGGATTTATTGTTGTGGGGCCCCATCTTCTTCCTGGAAACTTCAAAGATTACTGCAGGAAAATACATTGTTCATTGTGGAAAACTTAAACATTGTTTATATGGACATATATTAAAGCATGAAACAATCCCACACCAGTTTGGATTCAAAGGGTTATTTATTTGAGGGCAAAAAACTTACAGAACACCATCCTACATGGCAGCCAGGAAAGGAGTCTAGTCGCTGGAGCATGAGAGTGAGCAGAGGGCTGCCACTGCTTTTTAAAGAGAAAGAGACCACACCCCAGTGGGCTGGTATCTCAATGGCTCTTGGCTGAAGGAGCAGAAGGAGCTCCCACAGCACCTCCCCCTTTTGTTTAAGTAAGAGAGTTCTAAACCTACTATGAAATTATATACAATAAGAACAGTTATCCTATTCTAACTAGCTTAAGTCTTATATAATAAATAATTTGGCCAAGTCATGAGAGGAAAGTAACTACATTTATCTAGTCTTCAACCCCATCAAAGATCTGAGAAGGGAAATAATGTTACCTGAGTAATTAGGAAGTGCAGTCAAACAACTTCTAAAACATGCAACAAATCACAGAGACAACTGATTACCTGGGCCATCACCCAAAGTCACATTTGCAGCATTAAAGCAACCAACTTTGGCTAAGGCCTAGAATAACTGACAGATTATTTTTAAATGCAAGAAATTTTTCAAAACCATCTTACCCTGTCTTGGCAAGATTTGACAGTTCTGCTTATCCATTTCCGGATACTATGTATTTTGTCAATAGTTGAGGTATGGGCAACATAGATAAGAATAATGGGTTAATATAAGCTATAAGAGCTAATAAGAAGACTGAGCTAATGGGCCAATCAGTTTATATCTTATGGAGACCTCTGTGTGATTTTCTTTGGGGCTAAACAACTGTGGGAACCGGGCAGATAGAAACCTCAACAAGCCACCCCTCCTGCTACAATATATTCAATGAAAGGTACAATAGAGACAGAAATAGGTATGAAGAAAAGTAGTTTTTTCTAAATTCTTTTTTCTGTCCCATACCAGATAGCTCCTGACATGAGACAGAAACTCTGAAATTTTCTTTTAACAACATGCTTGAATTTAGAGAAGAACAGAGCCATTGTCCTACTCCAAAGCCAGCTTTGATTTTTAAGTGAATCATTACTATAATTCTATTGAGTATTCAGAGATTCTTACCCTCAGATGACATGTCCTCACAAGTGATAATTCTCTTTGCTTGGTGATCCTATATGAATAATTATCTTTTCCTCCTAGGCATCTATATGTCCAGAGTCTCTTGACTTTTTGAAGATGAGTGTTTTCCTGCAAAGACAAGAACAGAACCCTGCTCCAACCCTTATGAGGTTCCCTTACCACCTTATTAATTCTCACCTCTGTGGATGAACTGTCTTTTCTTTCTCAAGAGATTTCTCTTTTTCAAACCAAATCTTTATTAATTTTGATGGTATCCATAACTTTTCTTCTCCTGTTGAAATAAGAACAAAGCCCCTTCCCCAATGTAACACTTCTCCTGTCTTCATTATAAGATCAACACATCCTTGAAACACACCAGCTGAATTAATTCAAAAGACTTTTCTGTTATCCAATATCTGTCTGCTGCTGTTGCTCCTTTCTCATTAGTGTGAAGAAAATTCAAGGTCAATAGAGCATTATGCAGTCTATTTCTGGGGGTATTTTCTATTCCTTTCTGTTTGTTTAACATATCCTTTATAGTTCAATTTGATCTTTCTATAACTGCCTGATTTGTAGGATTGTGTGGTATACTTGTAATATGCTTTATGTTATAATAAGCAAAAAACTGTTTCATTTTCTTAGAGACATATGCTGGACTATTATCTGACTTTATTTGTAGTAAAAGGAGGCAGTGGGCTGCATTCCCAGCTGCATTCCTGGCACCTGGCTGCCTGGCTAGTTTACACCCGAAATAATTACATGGAAACTGTATTCATTTAAACACAGCCTGGCCCATTAGTTCTAGCCTCTTATTGGCTAACTCTCACATATTGATTCAACCCATTTCTAATAATGTGTATTGCCACTTGACTGTGGCTTACCGGCATGAGTCTAACCAGCATCCGTCTCAGAGAGGAGAGCCATGGCATCTGCCTGACTCTGCTTTCTTTCTCCCAGCATTTTGTTCAATCTACTCTGCCTATCTAAATTCTGCCCCATCAAAAAGCCAAAGCAGTTTCTTTATTTGACCAATGAAAGCAACATATAGAAAGAAGACCCTCCTACACCATTTATTTGTGCAGGTACACCATTGGTGGCCATAACGTCTAATAAATGTGTGATTACTGAAACAGCCTTTTCTGAACTCAAAGCAGTTGCCCATTGAAAACCTGAATAAGTGTCAATGATGTGGTGCACATATTTTAATTTTCCAAATTCTGCAAAGTGGAACACATCCATCTGCCAGATTTCATTCCTTTAAGTATCCTTTGGGTTAGTCTCTGCAGATAGCAGTGTTTGGTTATAGAAAGAACAATAGGACATCTCTTTATAATCTCCTTAGCTTGTTGCCATGTAATAGAAAACTCTTTCTTTAAACCTTTTTATTGACATAATGTTTCTTAAGGAATTCTGAAACCTTCAACACACTTCCAATCAGTAATCAATCAATTTCTGCATTAACTTGTGCTAGAGAACCTGGCAGACCCATATGGGATGAGATGTGTGTTATGTATATGGAACAAAACCTATTCCTGATTATATCTTGAATCTGAATGAATAATGAAGTCAATTCTGTATCATCTGGTATAAATTCAGAGTTTCAATATATAAGACAACTCTTGCTGCATATTGTGAATCAGTAACTATATTAAGAGGTTCTTTAAAATCCCTTACCACCATGAGAATAGCATATAATTCTGCCTTTTGGACAGAATTATAAGGGCTTTGTTCCACCTTACTTAAATTTTCTGATCTGTAGTCTGCCTTCCATGATTTATTTGCATCAGTATAGAATGTATGGGCTCCAGTTATTGGTGTGCCCCATTCGATGCATGGAAGGATTCAAGTAATTCTCTTTATAAGGTTAATTCTATCACTTTAGGGATAATTGCAATTAATCTCTCCTAAAAAATTAGCATTAGCAAAAGGTCTTCGCCAAGGTTAATTGTCTTTCCATAATTTTTTAATTTCATCAATTGTAAAAGGCACTATAATCTCTTTTGTGTCTATACCTGCTGGTTGATGAAGTCTCAGTTTTTCTTTTATAATTAATTCAGAAACTTTTTCCACACAAATTTTCAATTTTTACTTGGTTTATGTGGTTAAAAAAAAACTTTCCTAAGATAATATCTTCCCTTTGCATAAAATTCTTGTAGGGGAAATTCTGGAAGGCAATATGACTAGAATACAATTAAGATTTGGATTCACCCTTTTTACATGTGCCTTCAGTAATTTTTCTTCAACAACAATCAATTCTTTTTTCACTTCAGCTGTTCATTCTCTGGGACTATTTAAGTCTTTGTCATTATCTAAGGTTTTTTTTTTAAGGAATGATTAGATCAGGTATTATCCCAATAGTTGGTTGTAGACTGGAAATATCTCCTAACAATCTTTGAAAGTAATTCAGAGTCCACAGTTGGTCTCTGCTTAGTTGTGCTTTTTGTGTTCTAATTTTCTGTAAACCTAATTTATAACCTAGGTAATTGACAGAATCTCCTCTCTATTTTTTTCATGAGCAATTTGTAAATCCCATTTTGGCAAAACTTTCTTTACTTCTTCAAACATTCTTTCTTAAGTATCTATGTTTGAATCAGATAGCAAAATGTCATCCATGTAATGGTAAATTATAGATTTAGGAATTTTTTTACATATTATTTCCAATGATTGACTTACAAAGTATTAGCATAGGGAAGGGCTATTGAGCATTCCTTGTGGAAGGATAGTCCACTATTATCTCCTAGTAGGCTGAGAATTATTATAAGTAGGCATCGTAAAGGCAAATTTTTCTCTATCCTTTTCTTGTAAAGGTATAATGAAGAAACAATCTTTTAAATTAATAACTATAAGAGGCCATACTTTTGGTAATAGAGAAGGCAGAGGAATTCCAGATTGTAGAGGGCTCATAGCATGAATTACCTTGTTGACAGCTCTTACATCTGTCACCATTCTCCATTTACCAGATTTCTCTTTAACAACAAATATAGGAGAATTCCAAGGGCTGGTTGATTGTTCAATATGGTGAGCATCCAGTTGCTCTTGTACCAGCTGTTCTAAAGCCTGCAGTTTGTCTTTTGTTAAAGGCCACTGTTTAACCCATATTGGTTTCTCAGTTAACCATTTTAAAGGTAGGGCTGTTGATACCTCTAAAGGTTTGCCAGTTGCTTTATGTTCTTGTACAGCCTGAATGGCTGGTGACCTTTGTGTATAGTACCTTATAATAATCCTGGGACTACAGGAATGTTAACCTTGGTATTCCTTTGCTGCAGCAGGTCATGACCCCATAAATTCACTGCAATATTAGACACATACGGCCTCAGCCCTTCTCTCTGTCCTTCTGACCCTATGTATTCAATCCATCTTGTGTTTATTTCACTTGAGATAGGGTTCCAATTCCTAGGAATTAAACATCTGTCTTTTGAAAAGGCCAATTTGGATGCCAAGATTCTGGAGTAATAGTACTCACATCTGCACCCATGTCTATCAAACCCACAATTACAATGCCATTTATACACATTCTTAGCTTTGATCTTTGATCATTTATAGAAGTCTACCAGAATATGTTTCCTATTTCCTATTGGAATTTTTGATTTATCCTTCATATTTATTCCATCCTCCATAACAGTATGGTCTTTTACAGAAGGCTCTGGATTTTTAAATTTTTCTGGTGAGACATGTCCTCCACAGTGTCTGGGAATGACTGAATCACTTTTGACTTGGGGGCCTCTGAGAGGCCCGCTAAGGAGTTTCCCAATGGTATTGGGTTGCCTTGTCTGTCTTTTGTTGATCTGCATTCATTGGTCCAATGTCAGCCTTTGCCACACCTTCTACATATACCTGAAGGCTGAGTTTTCCTATTCTTGCCATTCCCAGAGCAGATATTATTCCTAGGAAGTCTTTGTCTACAATCCCTTCTCAGATATCCTATTCTACAACAATTAAAACATTTGGCATTTTGATGTCTCCTCTTACCTTTGGAAATTGCTTCTCCTGCCCAAGATTCAGTATTATAGTTAAATGTCTCAATGTTCATTGTATGCAGGATTCATTTATCCATTGGTGCTGATCTAACCTTTAAAGACCCAAGTATCTTTCTGCATTCTGAGTTGGCATTTTCAAAACCCAGAGATTCAATAAGCACTCGTCTAGCATCTGGGTCTGTTATTTCTATTTGTCCAGTCTTAGTTAATCTTCATAAAAAGTTAGTGAAGTGTTCTCTCTGGCCCTGTTTACTCCTGGTATATGATTCAATTCATTTTCCTAGTTCTTGAATTCTGTCACAAGCATTTAAGGCTGCTTTGTGGTATAGCAAGATTTGTACATCGTCAAGAACTTGAGCCTGTGGGTCAGCACAAGTGCACTCACCATGAATTTGATCTTGGAAAGTCTCAATTTTTTTTTTGCTTTTCCCTGTTCTAAAATTTTAGCCTCTTCTCTGAAATAGCATTTAAACATCAGTTGAGGCCTGTCATCGAGGACTGCTGAAACTAAGTGAAACCAGTTGGTGGTGTAGCTTTAATTCTAGAACCCCAAGTCTTTACCATTTCCCTAACAAATGTGGAATACAAGCCATAAGTTACAACAGCTTGCTTAATTTCTTTTAGATAATTCATTCCTATAGGTATCCATCTACATTCTTTGGATCCTTTTGAGCCTTTAGAACTTGATGCTTTGTCAGAGTAGATTACAGGGTAGAAAGCAAAAACCCTGGTTAAGTTATCTCTGACAGTTATGTTTAATCCTGTCCTTGTACCTTTTCCCCATGCTCATCAGCTCCAATAATTTCCAAAATCGCTTCAAATATTTTTACTACTGTGTTTTGTAAAACCTGAATCTCCTGGCCTGTATATATCTCTAGTGATTTCATTGAGGCACCTAGCCTCTGGTTCTCATTCTGCACATGTGATTCCAAGGTCTGAATTTTTTCCTTTAAAGATAACATCCCATCTTTGGATATTGTTTGGATAGCATGCAGATTGCCTTCCTGGAGAGATACTCTCTCTACTATCCTTTAAAAATTTTTAAACAAATTTTGATCGTCAAATTCAACAGTATTAATTCTTTCAGATAGTTTCTCAGTATCCTTTGACATGAATTAAATTTTGTCTGTAAAATTAATGTTAGCCTTTTCAATAGTATTAGTTTTTTCAGGTAACTCTTGATTTTCGATGGTATTAATCCTGTCAGCTAGCTGTTCATTATTAGTCTGTGAAGACTTTATAATTTCTAAAAGTGCCTCATTCTTGGATCTTACGAAAACCATTTTCGTAAGGATATAATATGAAGTAAAAAGCTGAGTCCTAATATCCAATAAATGGATGCATCACCATAACCATATAAGCCTTGCTGAATACAATCCATAGTAGTAACAAAAGAGTTACTAAAATTCTTGATGGCAATATTGTCTGCAATTATATAACTTTCAAGTTTATTGACTTATTAATAAAATATTTACCTGGTATGAGGTCCAGTAAATTATTTTAGGGGTAATAATCTTTATTGTTCAGCAGCTGTCGTGCTTGCAGAATCGTGACTAGCGGCAGTGCAACCAGTGGCGATATGAACGGTCCTGAGCCACTTTGGTTTCCCCCCGGATGCTGGTTAAATATTGAGAAATATGCTTTGCCTGACAAATTAAAAGCAATTCAATCAATTCCATATGTGGAACAAGAAGCTCAGAACTCACGGGCAGGGAGCACAAACCAGAAGCTGTGCAAGTCGCCATGAGGCAGGGAACGTGGGGTAGGGAGTACATGAGCTTGGGAAATTTCCAAGTCTCCACAGGCAGTTAGCTCTGCTGGGGTGGGGTTTTTACAAAACACCACTTAGGTAAAAGCAAACAAGTAGGCAGGGGTGGGAAACTTTCTGGGCTGTGGACTGGCTAGTCCTATAAAGAGTCTGACTGACAGCTTTGCTCTACCTAGTTCAAAGCATAGGCCCACGCTTACATTAAAGCCCCATGGACCACTGCCGTGGGGATAACAGACCCCCACCCTCCTCATTGTCCACCCACCCCGCTGACACAGAATTACCTGGAAACTCTGGCTTGGTATGGACCCGTGCTTCTACAGTTCTCCTTTTCTTGCATTTGTTTCCAGGGGGCACCTTTTGGCATTTGCTCTCTGGCTGGGTCCTTACCCCCTTGTGTAATCAGGCTCTGATGGCCAGTGTTGTGATGAATGTGCTTCCTCAGGCAAGCAGGCAGTGACTGAAGCCCTGCCAGCTGTGTGGCCTCAGCTTGCACCGCACTCCCACAGGATGAGCCCGTGTGTCGCAGCACTGGGCGGCAGTTCCTGGAGGCAGCGTGCCCTTTGCTCGAGCCATGGCCTCTCAAGTGGTTATAATTTCATTTGGCTGCTAATTGGTTGGCCTGTTGCATCACACTGCCCTGACCCCTCCTTTATACTGGATTTTTTTCAGGAATACTTGTGTGAGGGTGAAGCTATCTCAGAATGACTGATGTGAATGATGAAAGCAAGGCTGCACGTTTTAGCAGGGAACATCTGTCCTCTTGCTGGTCCAGAGGAGGAGGGACCAATGCGGTAGCCTGTGAGCCCAGTGCCTGAACCTTGGTGGAGAGCAGGGCCAGTCTTATTTTTAAATTCACTTTAAATTAACATGTATATGCGTATGGGAGGGAGAGAGAGACAGAGAGAAAGAGAGAGAGAGAATGAACAACTTGCAAAATCCAGGGTCTCTTCTTTTATTGTGTGAGTTCCAGAAATTGAGCTCAGGTCACCAGGCTTGATAGCAAGCTCCTTTACCTGCTGAGCCATCTTGCTTGTCTTCATTTAACACATTAAAAATGTTTACTCTTATTTTATGCACATGAATGTTTACCTGCATGTGTGTAATTGTATACACCACATGTGCCTGGTGCCCACAGGAGGCAGAGAAGGTGATAAGAATCCTTTGAACAGGAATTAGAGACAGCTGTGAGCTGGGAACTGAACCCAGGACCTGGGAGCTGTCTCTCCAGTTCCCATTCAACACTTTTTTAAGTGAACACATGTTGTATGCCAGGTTCTGGGTACATGACATTAATCAATATAGACAAGCTTGGCCCTCATAAGGCAGATCTTGTGTGATGAGAGTGGGAGTGTCACAAACTACTCTCAGAAAGAGAGGGGGAGAAGAACCTGACCTCAGGGACACTTCTCAGTTCCCACACAGCCCCCAGCTGAGCAGGTATTGACTCCTTGGGGCCAAGTTTGACTCTCACATCCCAGACATATGTGATAAGGACTACTATATAGAAAGACCACCCCCCCACACAAAGTCATCCCCAAATCTTTGTTTTTGGAAACAGAGTTACTCTGTGAAACAGTTCTGGAAATCACTACGTAGACCAGGCTGGCCTTGAACTCACAGAGATCCACCTCTGCCTCCCAAGTGCTGAGATTAAAGGCATGTGCCACTATTGCCCGGCCTCACTCCCAAACTTTAATGGCAGATGTGTTCCAGTGAGCTAGAGTTTAACCTGTTGCTCAGGTGAACTTCATCTCCCCTGCCAGAATATCCTGTCTGCCAGGGCATTTTCTCCTCTGGCTCTCCAATCTTGACTGTAAAACCAGCTGTTCCAGTCTACACTGTACAGTGGGGCGGTCAGTCGGCAGACAGACCAGGGCAGACCTGGCAGCCTGGGCCTGTGCCAGAGGAGCAAGGAGCCACACTCCATCCTCAGTTAGAACAAGAATAGTCCTCTCTACCATTGCCTTATTACCCTGGGGCAAAATCACCTTCAAGAATCTCTTGCCTTTTTTCAATCACCCAGTTTCTTTGACTGAGACACACTCTGAATTTGTTATTTATTGTTGTTGATGGTGGTATTTTCTTTGTTAGAGGCAGGTTTTCCTGTGGCTCAGGCTGGCCTTGAACTCATATAGTTGAAGATAATCTTAAACTCCTCATCCTCCTGCCTCCACCTTCCAAGTGGGGATTCTAGGCAGGTGCCATCATGCCTGGTTCTATCACAGTGCTCGGGACTGAGAGCCTAGGGCAAGCACTCTGTCAGCTGATTGGTGCTCACCACTTGTCACGTGAACACAGGGATGCCTGTGGTCTATCTCCTGGGTACTGCTTGACCCTGCTCACATTGCATTGTACAGCTTTTTGCCTTTTGTTTCAACAAAGCCCACCTGCCCATCATTGCCTGACCACTTTTCATATTGCATCCTGGGTCTTTACTGGGCTTGCGTTCTTGTCTGGATGTGTTTCCCTGGTTTGCCAGTTCACTGTCATTGACTAAGCTGGGTGACTGTGGACGACTCCGCCCTTTCTACCTCTGATATGTCTCAGAGGACCCACAGCTCTGTGGTCTTGGAGTGCAGGCAGCTGGGTATAGACCTTCTCTTCCAATTGACTCTATGGTCTCTAGAGCCTAGCAAAGCGTATGACATACAATAGATGCTTAATCATGATTAAAAGATGAAGTGAAAAGTGAGAAGGTCACAAAAGAGAAGACAAAGATGGAGAGCGAGCCCAGGGTCAAAGGAACAAGGGATGGGGGCTGTCGTCTTGTTACAATGCAGGAAGAGATGGTTGAGTTGCCTCCTCTTCTTTTCTCTTCTAGCTAATAGTTCAGTTGCATCAGCCCTTGTTCCCACATTAATCTCATTTTCATCCTTTTAATCATCTTGTCCTTCATGACCCTTCTTGGTGAGGCCAGGCTTTTCCTGCTGAGAGGGCAGGTGGGAAACATCGCCTGGAGAGGACCCTGCTGAGTCATCTGTTCTGACATCTAAGAGGTGCTACGTCTTGTCAGATATGATGTGATTTGGGGGAGCCACGCTGAACACCCACAATTTCTAGCTCCTCTGTTTACAACAGTTCCTTCCTGGATGTTAGAAGCCCTCCACTCGATCAAATCTGTACCACCCGTTTGTTCTCATCAGCCAACTCCAGCCCACCCCATCTCTCCAGAGGAGGCTCCTTGGACCAGTTCCTGGTTTCTCTCATGCTTCAGCAGCCCCACACACTCCTGCTGCATTCACTGAGGCCTTTGTCTTCTGACCTGTTTGTGCGTCAACTAGTTAATCAGATGTCATTGAGGGGCAGGAACTGTTGTGACTGAAGGAGATTCAAGAAAACAAGGCAGGGCCCCTGTGCCTAGAGAGTGTTCATGGATGGGATGGGCAGGTTAGTGCAGAAGTTTGCATATTGGACATCATCTTATAGTTTCAAGAAAGAAAGTCAGGGGGCCAGGGGCCCGCAGCCCCAAACACTGAGGCAGACAGAGATCCTCTTCCTATGAACTCTCCACACCCACCTCTGTAAAATGCTGATGAGCTGCCAGCTCCAAACAGTTATGATCATGTGACCGGTGGCCCTCCTCATTCTCCAGAACTCAGCAGGAAACAGTAAGAACAGGGAATGCCTCTGTCCCTTCAGCTGAACTGTTGGGACAGTTCCAGGATAAGTGGGCTATGAAGAAGAAATTCGTCAGACTTATCCCTGTGGGAGGAGCATGAGGACAGCGGTCAGGCTAATGCCCCCACCAAGCTGTCCTGGGTCTAACTTCCTTCCTCATGCCAGACCTGAGACCTAGCTTACGTGGGGACAGGAGGAGGAGGGGAAGCTGTGACCAGCTAGGGAGAAAGAATTTGCTTAAATTTTGCACTAAACATGTGGGTCCAGAATTACCTTTTTGTTTGCCACCTTGTATCCCAGGAGGCTAGAGATTGCCCTCCCCAGGATGGGTCAGCCAGCAGATATTTCAGAGCCTGGGGGAGATTTCTTGTTCTGCCTTTGAGTCAGAAGATGATGAGAGAGAGAGAGAGAGAGAGAGAGAGAGAGAGAGAGAGAGAGAGAGAGAGAGAGATCCAGTTAAATGCATCTTCTGAGTGAGATTGGGATTGTTCTTTTCTCTTAAAATTGTATAACACCATTTTCATGAGGAAAAAAAAAATGTAGTCTGAAGAATTAGTCATAGACTTGGCCACTGAGAAGAGCCCGTGTGGGAAACACCTTCAAGGAGTAGGTAACCATCTCTTCAGAAATATCTCCATCTCGGGGCTGGAGAGATGGCTCAGCGGTTAAGAGCATTGCCTGCTCTTCCAAAGGTCCTGAGTTCAATTCCCAGCAACCATATGGTGGCTCACAACCATCTGTAATGAGGTCTGGTGCCCTCTTCTGGCCTCCAGGTATACATGCAGAAAGAATATTGTATACATAATAAATAAATATTTAAAAAAAAAGAAATATCTCCATCTCTTCAGAAATATCTGCTGCTCTCCAAGCAAGGCTGGGCTCTCCTGCTGTGGTGGGCAGGCAGTATGAGTGTTAGGGATCTGATCAGCACTTTAAATGGACCCAAGATTGTAAATGGAGACTATGTTTTCATTTCCTGACCACCCAGTCCCAAATAATCACAAAAAACTATTTTCATTACAACACTGTTTGACCGTTAGAGCAGGCATATTTCTTATATCTTAAATTAACCCATTTTGAGACTGTGGCTTACTGGTAGGATTTTCAGGTCTTTCTCCTTTGGCAGCTACTTGACAGCTACATGGCATCTCCCTGACTCTACGTTCTTTCTCCCTACATTCAGTTTAGTTTTCCTGCCTAGCTATATTCTGCCCTACAATAGGCCAAAGCAGATTCTTTATTAACCAATAGTATTAAAACATATTCACAGCATACAGAGGGGAATCCCACATCACAAAATGGACCAGGTGAAAGTTGGAAGTCACAAAGGAAGCACTGAGCAACAGCCGTGGAGTATATAGTACCAGTTTCTATGACACTCACTCAGAAGAAACTGTCTGGATTTTTCTCACATCCTAGTGTCTCCTTACTCTAATTTTAATTCCATCATGATGTTACTTCTGAACACAAACTGTATTAGAAGCATGCACATTGGAAGAGGGAGCACCCTAGAGGTGTGATACTTAACCAAATTTTGGGAGGAAAGACCTCTGAAAATCTGACGGAGGCTGTAAACTAGAGACGTGCATGCTGGAGCTGGAGAGGGCTCCCTGGTAAAGAGCAAGTTCTGCTCCTATTGATCACATTTGTGTTGCTTTGATAAGCTGTCCTGACAAAAGGACTCAAGGAAGCTGGTATTCTTCTAGCTGATCACATTTGTTAGAAGTGATGCTGCATTTAACTTCTGCCATGTACGCTATCAGAACATGAGGGGCAATGAGGAGAACTGAGATATCTCAGTCAACAGCTAGCATCAAGCACAAGATGCCAACAAGGCCCCCATGCATTCCCCAGCCCAACTGCCAGCTCAGGAAAATGTAAGTAATGCACAGAGGAGCCCTGTCAACTACAGTCAGGGAAACGACGAAGCGCCGTCTTCAGCCCC